ATACAGACCTTCTAAAGATTCCTTCAGGTTTCGGGGCTGTCGCTGGGCAATACGGACTTTCAGCTCCCTCCAAAGATTTTCTATTGGGTTCAGGTCTGGAGACTGGCTAGGCCACTCCAGGACCTTGAGATGCTTCTTACGGAGCCACTCCTTAGTTGCCCTGGCTGTGTGTTTCGGGTCGTTGTCATGCTGGAAGACCCAGCCATGACCCATCTTCAATGCTCTTACTGAGGGAAGGAGGTTGTTGGCCAAGATCTCGCGATACATGGCCCCATCCATCCTCCCCTCAATACGGTGCAGTCGTCCTGTCCCCTTTGCAGAAAAGCATCCCCAAAGAATGATGTTTCCACCTCCATGCTTCACGGTTGGGATGGTGTTCTTGGGGTTGTACTAATCCTTCTTCTTCCTCCAAACACGGCAAGTTTAGACCAAAAAGCTATATTTTTGTCTCATCAGACCACATGACCTTCTCCCATTCCTCCTCTGGATCATCCAGATGGTCATTGGCAAACTTCAGACGGGCCTGGACATGCGCTGGCTTGAGCAGGCGGACCTTGCGTGCGCTGTAGGATTTTAATCCATGACGGCGTTGTCACGCCCTGACTCAGGAGACGCTTATATGTTGAGTCAGGGTGTGTATATTCCTTGTTGTGCTTGTTCTATGTATGAGGATCTAGTATGTCTAGTTCTATGTTGGCCGGTGTGGTTCCCAATCAGAGACAGCTGTCACTCGTTGTCTCTGATTGGGGACCATACTTAAGCAGCCTATTGGCACTGTCTAGTTGTGGGATCTTGTTCCTTGTAAGGTATGTTGTGTGTTCTACCTTGGACTTCACGTTTCGTTTTGGTTTGTTATTTTGTCGTGGGTTTATAAGTTAATAAACATGTACGTATATCACGCTGCGCCTTGGTCTGACCCGTCATTCAACGAACGTGACAGGCGTAGTTTGTTACTAATGGTTTTCTTACAGACTGTGGTCCCAGCTCTCTTCAGGTCATTGACCAGGTCCTGCCGTGTAGTTCTGGGCTGATCCCTCACCTTCCTCATGATCATTGATGCCCCACGAGGTGAGATCTTGCATGGAGCCCCAGACCGAGGGTGATTGACCGTCATCTTGAACTTCTTCCATTTTCTAATAATTGCGCCAACAGTTGTTGCCTTCTCACCAAGCTGCTTGCCTATTGTCCTGTAGCCCATCCCAGCCTTGTGCAGGTCTACAATTGTATCCCTGATGTCCTTACACAGCTCTCTGGTCTTGGCCATTGTGGAGAGGTTGGAGTCTGTTTGATTGAGTGTGTGGACAGGTGTCTTTTATACAGGTAACGAGTTCAAACAGGTGCAGTTAATACAGGTAATGAGTGGAAAACAGGAGGGCTTCTTAAAGAAAAACTAACAGGTCTGTGAGAGCCGGAATTCTTACTGGTTGGTAGGTGATCAAATACTTATGTCATGCAATAAAATGTAAATTAATTACTTAAAAATCATACAATGTGATTTTCTGGATTTTTGTTTTAGATTCCGTCTCTCACAGTTGAAGTGTACCTATGATAAAAATGACAGACCTCTACATGCTTTGTAAGCAGGAAAACCTGCAAAATGGGCAGTGTATCAAATACTTGTTCTCCCAACTGTATATGCAATATAAACCATCAAATGGTTATATCGTATTGGCCAAAATAGTGTTCGCCAAATAATAAGCCAATATTTACCTTGAGTTATTAACCATTTATAAATGCACTTACAAATGATTATAAGATTAACCCTTATGAATCATCATGTTGAACAACAACTTCTAAAAATATACCTTAAAAGAAAGTGGAAACCTTCTGGCCATTTATTAATGAGTTGCAAACATTTATAACAACATATCATCTCCTCAAACATGCAATACGTAGTAAGAACAAAATGTAATTTAATAGAAAGATACATTGGGAATTTGAATTGCAGTGACTCAAATCTGTAGCCTATCATTGGTCTAGTGAGTAGCCTAGCTAATTCAGATAAACTCCCCTTTTTTTAACATTACAAGTCAGAATAGAAATTGACAACAGATTAACTATTTAAAACACAACATAGGGTCATGGTCCCCTTCTGTGTCTTCATCTGTTTCTTTCTTGTTAAGCATTTTCCCATCCTGGAGTCTGATACCTTATGGGAATCTGTGGGAGAGAAGAGACATTTATGACAGTTTAGCATAGACACTCTAGCAACACATAGCACTACTATAATCATTATCATGATTTACACCATTTAAGCTTAGCTAGTTATGTTAATAGATAGCTAGTGTTTAACATTACTTGCTAACACATAGCTAGTGTGGGGATCTATTTTCTTACAACTAGATGTGATGCCTAGCTTAGAAAGAATACATTAATGATTAAACATAATAGGTTTGTGCTGTACTGATATAGATTGTTTAACATAACAAGCTGTGATTAATGTGAGGAACCGTTAGGGGGTAGGCTGAGACAGGCTTGTGACTCACACACACAGCCTCTTTGTTAAACCGCTCAAGGACATGTGTTCTGCTACAAAGAAGGACAAACTATGTCTGAGGTTGCCGACTCGAGACAAGTTGTAAAGATAACAACGAATGCCTGGCAACAGTGAAGTGCCAAGGGTCTGGGACCAGCCTGTGCCATCGATAGGTTGGGTAAGTTTAAACCACACCCAGCCTCTATTCTGACAGGCCCAGCAGGGAGCGGGAACTATCTCTGTCAGAGTATTTAAAGAAGAACTTATAACAAAAGCTCAGTTCTTTGTCTGCCCTGCGTGGTTTTTCAGTGGGCCCGTATATACAAACATCATATTTACCATTCAAGTGTTTGCATTAATTAAAATACTAGTATATCTTAAAATACGTGTGTTCACCTCTTTTTGTTCCTATACCAGATTTGAATTGACGCAACTTGACAATTGGTGACCCCGACGTGATCTGATAGAGGGACTTCGCTGGGTATTGTCCGACCGATTGGACATTGCTGTCGTCGGACGGTGTGTTTCACAAAGAGTCCGGACAACTAAAAACAGGTAAGAAGACACCTATTATTATATAACTAAAGTTCTGCACATTGGCTTTATCTGAAAATCTATCGGAAAATACTGAAATCTATCGGCAAGGTCCGTAACTACGAGGGTACGGTTAGGTTCGAAGATACAGGGAATAATTGAATTAGTAATTGCTTTCGGCAAGGTCCGTAACTACGAGGGTACGGCTAGGTTCGAAGAATTACACTGGCAAGGTCCGTAACTACGAGGGTACGGCTAGGTTCGGGAAATTTTTGATAAATACTAGCGACTGGCAAGGTACGTAAATACGAGGGTACGGCTAGGTTCAGCTGAGTATTTTTTAGATAGGGGGGAGGATAGTAGGCGAGGTTGAATTTGACAATATAAAGGTAAAGATAATGAATAGTCAATATAACTAAATTGAAATGTATTGAACTGATATAATTAAACTGTAACATTGGTGTTTGAAATAACATAATACTGGTTTTAAAGAAGAAATTAAGTAGAAATTTGATATATTATTCAACTTAATGTTGGATGTTGAACACAACATGATATTGGCTTGATGTGATTAAGTTCCCAAATATAAATGTTTTATGTTTGACGCCACATCAATTTAACGGTTGAGGTTTAAAACAACATGAAATTGGTTTGATGAGATTAAGTTCCCTAATATATAAATATTTTATATTTAACGCCACACAATATTGATCTGGGAAATTGAAATGAAATACCTGGATTTATAAGTTGAATCAAATGTTTAATATTTGACATGGCAAAGGATACCAACGTAGAATAATTAGGTTGAAAATAACTTGGGTAACATTGAAATATAAATACATATCGAGTATAATTAAGTGGGGAACCACTTAATTCAAACAAATCGATCGAGGGATTCCAAAAAAAAAAAAACATGACTACCAATGGAGAAGCGGAGAGAACTTTGAAGATTTTAAGATCTGCCCTTGAAGTTAATGGAGGAAAAGACGGAAAGGAATGGAAAAGGAGCGGAGAGAAACTCTATATGGAATGGATAGAAGAGGGTTGTATATTATCCCCCGACGGAGTGCCTGTAGAAGGCGAACCGGGAAGAATACTGGAGACGTTGACACGGAAAGCCCAGAAGACAGAAGGGGAGTGGAAGAAAGAGGGAGAACCCAGAAGAGGCAAAATCAAGGAAGCAATGGAAAAAGCAAGACTAAAGGAGAAGATAGGACTGGCAATGTTGGAGAAACTGAAGAGAATGTGGCAAGAAAAACAGACCAATGAGGGGGACAAGAAGGGAGGAGCCACATGTCCTAAAGCTCCGCCCCCACACAGATTATACCCAGAGTTGCCCACTTCACCACCCCCATACGAGGCTCCAAAGCTGATGGCTCCAACGCTGGATATTGTGGGAAAAGTCGAGTATCATAAAAGACCAGAAGGAGAGGAAGGAGAAAAATGGATGAAGGTCAGTGACCTGGGAGACCGGAGACAAGAAGTGGGGGCACTGCTAGAGGCAGCTAAGGCCATACGAGATGGGGTTGAAAACATGTCCAGAATGCAGGAAGAAGACATTTGCATGAGCCTGACGGGTGATAACAGCAGGGGAAGCCTGAGACTCAATGAAGTACTGACCCAGTCAGAGCTGAAGAATCAGGAGAGAGAGGACAGAGAGAGAAAATAACGAATAATGGAAGTGAAAAGACTGGAAGAGGAAGTGAAAAAGGGTGCTAAACAGCTGCAAGAAATGGAACAGACCATGCGGGACCTGAGTGTAGAGAGAGGACAAGGAAGTAGAGCAGCCTCTCCACCAACAATGCGGAGGTCGGTTTCACCCCCCAGAGGGCATTTCATAGATTTGGGGGAGGAGCATGGTGAAATAGGAGTAAAAGAGCCCAAGATAGTATGTGGGAGATTTGAAGGAGAATGGTGGGACCAAGATGATGTCCCTGCACGGCACACTAGAGCAAGAACTAGGGAATGTGAAACAAGGGGTCTATACCCAATGAGAGATACACCAGGAGGGGTGGCTATCTATAAGCCCTGGGCACACAGAGACGTACAAACCCTAGTGGATGCCCTGCCTGCACCAGATGAGTCTGGTGACAGATGGGTAAAGGCTTTTGAAAGTTTAACGGCTGCAGATGAGCTCACAATAGGAGACCTGGCAACGGTGATGAACAGATGCATGGGGGACCAAGAGTGTCGCGAGATCTTCGGCACAGGAGGAGTGAGAGGACGAGTGGCAGCAGCAACCCAGTTTGATCAACACCGTGGTCAGGTATGGGACGCTATAAGACGCAAATACCCAACTAAACCAAGACCTCAGCTGATGAAGAGTTTGACACTGGGAGGGGACAAGCTGTGTCTGTGGCCCAGAGAACCTCAATTTTGGAGCATCCCAAACCCACCACTGTACAACACCTTTTGTCCTTTCTTAGCCTTACTGGTTACAGCAGAACACACGTGCCAGAATATTGTCTCAAGGTTGAGCCACTGCGGGCCATCTTGAGGGAAGCAGGAAACAGAAACCTCACAGCAGTCCTGAAGTGGACTCCAGAAGCGGAAGCTGCTTTCATTCAACTCAAACAGACACTAGCCCAGGCTGAAGCCCTCTCCTTACCTGATTATACCACACCATTCTGTTTGGATGTTTCTGAACAGGGCGGGTTTGTACACTCCATCCTTTATCAAAAACAAAAGGGGGAGAGGAGAGTGCTGCACTACTACAGTGCGAAATTGGACAACATTGAGACAGGGCAAACTGACTGTGCCAGACATATGGCTGCACTCGCCAAAGCTGTAGGGAAGACAGCTCACATTGTGATGAGACACCCACTGGAAATCAACACAGATCATGCGGTGACCGCCTTTATAGGCTCAAAACTATTCACCCTCTCCAGCAAAAGGAAATCCAGCATAACAAAGGCCATTACAGCACGACACATTACATATGTAACAACAGCGACCAACATGACGGACGGCATGGGCCTTGGAGAACCACATGTCTGTGAGGATAGAGCAGCTAAACAGATCAAAGTCCGAATGGACCTGCAAAACTCACCCTGGGAAGGGAACAAGATCACCCTGTTTACGGATGGATGCTGCTACAGGTCAAAGGACCCAAAGGAAGGAAACATTGCTGCTTACGCTGTAGTGAAACAGGACACAGAAGGAGGACATGAGGTATTGGAAGCAGCAAAATTGGGTCCCAATGAAGCCTCAGCACAACTAGCAGAACTCAGGGCACTGAGGAGAGCACTCCAACTGAGCAAGGGAAAGGAGGTGGACATTTACACGGACTCTGCCTATGCACATGGGATTGCGCACATTGATGGACCACCAGCTCGAATGAGCCCATCAAACATAAGGTTGAGGTACAGATGCTTATTGGAGCAATCCAGTGGCCGAAACGGGTGTCAATAATGAAGTGTAAAGGACACAGCAAAGAAAGTACGAAGGTACGCGAGGGAAATGATCGAGCTGACCAAGCGGCTAAGGAGGCAGGAGGATACACTGCTCAACAGATGGTACAGAGAGCAACCCAAGGCCAAGAGGATCTAACAGAAGATACAGTAAGGCAGCTACAAGAAGCAGCTGATGTCTACGAACAGAACATGTGGAGCAGGCAGGGAGCAAGGAGGGACCACCAAGGAATCTGGAGGTCTCATACAGGAAAAACAGTGGCACCTGCAAAACTTCTCAGGTCGGTCATAAGGGAAGAACACGAGAAGGCACATGGAGGATGGAAAGGTGTTGCAAAGGCGGTTGAACGGGCATGGTGGCATCCACACATGTTGGACCTGGCAAGAGAGATATCAGAAATTGTGAAGTATGCAAACAGTATAACAACAAAGTGTCACTCGGAGCAGTGATAGGCAGTTTCCCAATACCTGACGCGCCATTTCAAGACATTTGCATAGATTTCACGGACATGGGACAGGACAACAGAGTGGAAGGAAAAAGATACCTGTTGGTAATGGTTGACAGATTCACCAGATGGGTGGGAGCCATCCCCACAGCAAGGGAAGATGCAAAGGCTGTGATTAAATGGCTGAGGAGGGACCTCATCCCAAGATTCGGGGTCCCGCGAATGATCCGCTCTGATAACGGTACCCATTTCAAGAATGAACACCTGAGGGAGGTAGAGCAGGCCCTAGTAATCACCCACAAGTTTGGGTCAGTGTATCACCCCCAGTCGCAGGGTCTGGTAGAGAGAGCTAACCAAACGCTGAAACGAAAAATTGCCAAAATCATGGCCGGAACTAAGCTAAAATGGGTAGATGCTCTGCCCCTAGCTCTGATGTCAATGAGGAACTCACCTGGGTCTGACACCCATTTAACGCCTCATGAACTCATGACAGGGAGTCGAATGCCAGGACCACCAGCAGACAATCTTAGCATGCCTAGACTAGACATTGCAAAAATCAGATACACAGACTACATGCAGGCGCTAACCTCTCTTGTTGAAAGACTGTCCAAACAGGTGGTGGAGGTTCGCACTCCTGCTGTCGAGACTACAGACGAGAACAGAGACATCCTGGTGGGAGATTGGGTGAGAGTGAAGGTGCACTCCAGGAAGTGGACGGAACCAAGGTGGGAAGGCCCATACCAGGTGAAAGAGGTGTCAAGTCACTCATTACGAGTAAGTACTGACAAAAAATACACTTGGTACCATCGCACACACTGTGCGAAAGACACAGGCCCGGATAGAACATTACAACAGACTATAACGGACATTGCTGATTCCCAATAAGGGTCCTGCTAGAGATGCAGTTTTAACTTAATCTCTGTGTGTCCGTATGTATACTATTGGCAATAATAGGGGGGGAATTGAATGTACAGCTTACTGAAGGAGAATCAAGTGTGGTTGTTTTAAAAGCATGTGACATATGGTCATGGAGAAATGGTGCAAGTAGAATTGGGGATATGTCCCAGAAGCCTAAGAGGGGGGTGTAATGTGCTGATGCCCTACGCTAGACGTCGGGGGACATATCTGTGTGAGGGGAAATGGTGTCCCTATTGGGACTATATGATCAGTAACGCAGGGCCATTCTGGGAGAAGAGGCTACCCCTATAGTATGAAGGATGTTACCAAAGTAACTAGAATGTCTATTGTGTGGGGTGGAGAGGGAAATCCAAGCAATTTGTGTAAAGGCGATGAAATCCTACTAACCATACGAGATGTTAAACTTACAGATGCGGGTGTTTATACTCTGGGAGCGGAACGCACCGGAGCTGACACTATGGGTATGTTTACCATCACAGTCACACCCAAGCTCGCAAAAACTCCAACTGGGCAGGGACAGACCCAGTCAAACTACACTACCACTCCAGGACCAACTCAGCCCCAACCCACTAAGGTACCAAACCCCGTTCAGGTGATTAATGTTAGGGATTTTACAGATAGTGATCAATTGGGTACAGAAACTGGGTATGAAGGGAGGGAAAATATGTGGTTGGCCTACATGAGGTATACGGCTAGAACACTTCACAGGCAAGATTGTGTTATCTGTGGGCATGCTAGACCCGAACTGGCAACCCACCCATTTGCCTTAGGAGAAGGGGAGGGATGGCAGTGTATACTGGAAGAGTTCTATCACTCGCTACCAAACACCACCCTGTGTAAGGCACTAAGTTTGATTTTTCCCGAGGTTCCACCACAGAAGGCACCAGGAGGAGTGAAGGCTTATGGGGGTAATTACAGCTGTATCACTGGGACAGGTAAGGGTGTTAACTATGGTAGATTGCCACTTGGTGACTGTGCTGTGAATGTAACCATGAACAGCACTTGGCCTGTAGAGGGTAGGAATCAGACGAAGCGGGTTGCTGATGTGTGGTGGATTTGTGGCCCGAATAGAAGACTGACCCCGATTCTAAAGGGGGACTGGCAGGGTACGTGTGCTTTAGCCAGTCTAATTATTCCACTGACTATTATTGATGTTACCTCAGACCAACTTTTGGGATCCGCCCAATTAACTCCAGAGGATGAGGGTTTAAGGCAGAGGAGGAAGCGTAGTGCCCCATGGGCTGCGGGGGTAGAAATCCACCCTAACCTGTTGGGGGTGCCCGTGGGGGTACCAGCAGAATTCCAGGCTCTTAACAGAAACGATGGGTTATGGCACCTTGTGCCCATCATAGGTCCAGCAATAGATGCTGCTAAACAGCGATCCTGGATAAACTATATCTACTATAATCAACAGAGATTTGTTAATTATACACGTACTGCCCTGACTGGAATGGCTGAACAACTAGAGGCCACCTCTAGGGTAGCTAGACAGAATAGATTGGCACTGGACATGATGCTTGCTAATCAGGGAGGAGTATGCAAAATGTTTGGGGAACAATGCTGTACGTTTATCCCTAATAATACTAGCCCTGACGGGAGCATCTCTAGAGCCCTTGTTGGCCTGGATAAGTTATCCGCAGAGATGAAGAGCATGGCTGGAGTGGAGGGTGGTGGGCTGTTCTCCTGGTTGAATGATTGGTTTGGTAAGTACTCTGTTATGGTGGTTACTGGATTTCTGACCCTAGTAGTTGTGTTTCTAATATTAATGTGCTGTGCTGCCTGTGTAATTCCTTGTTTGAGAAAGTCTGTTACAGATGTCGTGCATATGGCTGGTATGATGCCCCTCCTAGGGGCTCAAGAAGGGGATGCAGACACTGAGTCTAGCTTTCGGAAGAAACTGGGGTTGACAAAGGATGACCCTTGGTTTGCTATTGGTGAGGTGGTGGAGTGACACCCTAGTGGGTGTCTAAAGGGGGAATCAAAATTCCCTGTTTGTGTTTTTATGTTTTATAAATCCATTTTAACTATTGTGAATGTTTGTCTTTCCTTATGTGAAGGTTTGAAGTTCCTGGGTGGCTGGTAGCCAACTTAGTACAAGTTAAGTGTAGATGGAAGGACTGAAGGCCTTTTTATTATCATTATTGCCTATTAATAAAAGTGTGATTCTTTTTGTTTGTATTGTATTTTAATGAGTGACACCCTAGTGGGTGTCAAAAGGGGGAATCCTAAATTTCCCTGAAATTTCTTATTTTGGGTTCACACCCAGCGTGTGTGAAAAGGGGGATTGTGGGGATCTATTTTCTTACAACTAGATGTGATGCCTAGCTTAGAAAGAATACATTAATGATTAAACATAATAGGTTTGTGCTGTACTGATATAGATTGTTTAACATAACAAGCTGTGATTAATGTGAGGAACCGTTAGGGTTAGGCTGAAACAGGCTTGTGACTCACACACACAGCCTCTTTGTTAAACCGATCAAGGACATGTGTTCTGCTACAAATTAGGACAAACTATGTCTGAGGTTGCCGACTCGATACAAGTTGTAAAGATAACAACTAATGCCTGCAACAGTGAAGCGCCAAGGGTCTGGGACCAGCCTGTGCGCCATCGATAGGTTGGGTAATTTTGAACCACACCCAGCCTCTACTCTGACAGGCCCAGCAGGGAGCGGGAACTATCTCTGTCAGAGTATTTTAAGAAGAACTTATAACAAAAGCTCAGTTCTCTGTCTGCCCTGCGTGGTTTTTCAGTGGGCCTGTATATACGAACATCATATTTACCATTCAAGTGTTTGCGTAACTGAAATATCCTAACATCAACACTCAAAAGAACAGACAATGACTCTTCTGTTTCACCTGTCTGCATTGCACCAAACCGTGAGCATAACAAACAGCGGGAATCAGGCATAATGGGACCCATCTCGTCCAAAAAGTTGACTAAAGTTTGCCAAAAAGCACCTGGATGATCATCAAGACTCTTGGAAGAACGTTCTATGGACAGATGATTCAAAAGTATAACTTTTTGGACGACATGGTTCCAGTAATGCCTGGCGAAAACCAAACTCTGCATTCCACAGTAAGAACATCATACCAAAGGTCAAGCATGGTGGTGGTGGTGTGGTGGTTTGGGGATGCTTTGCTGCCTCAGGACCTGGATGACTTGCCTTAATAGAAGGAACCATGAATTCTGCTCTGTATCAGATAATTCTACAGGAGAATGTCAGACCATCCGTCTGTGAGCTGAAGCTGAAGCGCAGCTGGGTCATGCAGCAAGACAATGATCCAAAACACACAATCAAGTCTACATGAAAATTGCTAAAAAGCATCAAATTGGAAGTTTTGGAATGGCCTATCCCAATTGAGATGTTGTGGCAGGACTTGAAACGAGCAGTTCATGCTTGAAAACCCACACGTCACTGAGTTAAAGCAGTTCTGCATGGAAGAGTGGGCCAAAATTCCTCCAGAGCGACGTGAGAGACTGATCAACAACCACAGGAAGCATTTGGTTGGAGTCATTGCAGCTAAAGGTGGCACAACCAGTTATTGAGTGTAAGGGGGCAATTACTTTTTCACACAGGGGAATTGGGTGTTGCATAACTTTGTTTATGAAATAAATATGTAATTGTTGTGTTATTTGTTCACTTATGTTCCCTTTATCTAATATTAGGTTTTGGTTGAAGATCTGATAACATTCAGTATCACAAATATGCAAAAGTAGAGAAAATTAGAAAGGGGGCAAATACTTTTTCATAGCACTGTACATCTCGTTCTTGCCCTCTCAAGGGACAGCATCTTTTTCCCATGAACACCCAACATGTGCAACTCTCTTATCCACACAATTTCTTGCTAGCTGATCACTCCATTCCTTGTGCCATCCATTCTGATTCTTCAAAACGCACTCTCACATGATGTCAGTGTCAACAGAAAATTGTGGGCACGTTCCAGGTTGTCTTTATTTCAAGCACATTTCGCATATGTTACAAAGTCGGGGGAATTTATCCAAAACCAGCCAACCACACCAATAATATGGCTTGAGATCTTCAGATGAGGCCTTCATTCCTGGAATAAATAAGTGTACCAATGCATCATCACAGTTTCAAACGTGGGGAAAAACACATAATGGGAGTTGACCATTGGTCTGAAAACCAAACATTTATGTTCATGGGACAGAGCAACAATGCATTACACCCAAAAGTTAGAAAATAACATTTGTTTAACTGTGCAACCATTGAAAATAAGGTTGCATGATGATACATGAGGGTTCAATATTATACGCATTTGTAAGTGCATTTATAAATGGTTAATAGCTGGAGGTAAATAGTGGCTCACTATTTTCAAGCACTGACTGGCTATCACACTATTTTGATTAATTTGTTATAACCCATTTATTAATGCTTTATAATGCATTTACACATGATTAAATAACCGTTAATAACATAATTACAAACCGTTTATACACCCTTTACAAATGGAACCTTATTGTAAAGTGTTAACATTGTGGGCACAGTTTTGAAAAAGTACAAAGGCAGGACATTTATCAAACATTCTGCAAATGTATTTAAGCATTTGACCAAAAAATGCATGTAAGCGATTGAGAAAAACTGTAATATAGCTTTGATATGAATACAGTGCCACCCAGCATTGTTATCTGAGGAGAACGTCTAGTAGGCTACAGCAATGCGCTCAGAATATAGGAAAAATACATGGCACTGTTGATTTAATAGGTTAGGTAGATAAAGGAGATGTGAGTCCCCACCTGTGTGGACATCCACCTGTCTTGAAGTAGGGTAAACTATTGCAAATGCCCATTGGTGTGTCCATTGGCATATTTATTATGTTCTCATTCACATGAATATCGTAGGCTAAGGCTAGATTCTGATTTCTAGAGGAAGCATTGACGGAGACAATCATTATTGATTTATTTTAGCCTACAAAGAGATGTGGAGTTCCAGAGGAATATTTACTGTGCAGGACAAAACAAAACAAACATGACATAAACTTGAAAGCATGTCAGTGTTTACCATGGTCTACCATGAGGAGCTCTACTTCTGCCCTTATGTAGCCATAGCTCCTCCTACAGAGACAAACCAAAGATAGTTAACCCCATCAAACAACGGAGTCAAAATGACAAATAACATCATATGGTACCATTAATCAAAGTAGGCCTAAAAAAAGTATCAACTTAATTGTACTCTATAGGGTGCTGTGAAACCGTGCATAAAAGTCTGACTGAAGAAACAAAAAACATTGTGTGGACTGACATATAGGCCTACAAGTGGCTGTGGTTAATTGGTGGTTAATTGGTGGTTGTCCTTTCCAAGTAGAAGTCATGAGTATGACATCACCACATCTCAGTCTGGCGCCAGACACTGACCCATCTGACCTTCTGACCAGAGAAGGCCCTCGCCCTTTGACAGAGCCAGTCAACCAAATGCCAGAGTATCAAGACTATTGTCCTTAATGGCTGATCCTGCCTACAGAAGAAATTGGAGGAAGTGAGTGTGTTTCCTGGCAGTGTGTGCCCCCCCCCCCACGCCTTGCTCAAACACACCTACAAAGCCCCCTTTTCTTCTGGTTTTCTGAAGGATGGAGGGAGAAAGGAGAAGGGACAGGACCCATCATTCATCCTCCTTCAGGGTCCAGAGGGGATTGACACTTGGGGCCTGCCTGTGGTTTCTCCAGCTGGGTAATGATTGTGGGGCTGCTTTGAAGGCAGGCAGATGATGAGTCATCACAAAGCCAGCCTGGCAGGCTGCACAACCAGCTTCTTCACTTTGGCTTGATTGGAACTGACAGGGACCGTGTCAAATGTTTTAACATTTACGATGAGTCACTCAATGCATTGTCCTACTTTTGGCCCAGTTATTTTTGCTGTCACATGTATTTTAGAGGCACATTCATAGTAAAAAATACTCTGAAGGAGGCTAAACTGTACAGTATGAGTAAATGTCAAAGAGACAAGTTCAGTGGGTCTGTAGTTGCCACCTGTGGCCCTCAAAATTGTCAAAGACTCCAGCCACCCTAGTCATAGACCGTTCTCCCTGCTACCGCACGGCAAGCGGTACCGGAGTGCCAAGTCTAGGTCCAAAAGACTTCTCAACAGCTTCTATCCCCAAGCCATAAGACTCCTGAACAGCTAATCATGGCTACCCGGACTATTTGCACTGCCCCCCCACCCCATCCTTTTTACGCTGCTGCTACTCTGTTAATTATTTATGCATAGTCACTTTAACTCTACCCACATGTACATATTACTTCAACTATCTCAACTAGCCGGTGCCCCCGCACATTGACTCTGCACCGGTACCCCCCTGTATATATAGCCTCCCTACTGTTATTTTATTTTACTTCTGCTCTTTTTTTCTCAACACTTTTTTTGTTGTTGTTTTATTTTAACTTTTTTTGTTAAAAATAAATGCACTGTTGGTTAAGGGCTGTAAGTAAGCATTTCACTGTAATGTCTGCACCTGTTGTATTCGGCGCATGTGACCAATAACATTTGATTTGATTTGATTTGGTATACATGCTGAGGTCTTAGTGGAGGTTTTGAGCCAGAATGGCAGATCTCTGAATGTGCCTTTTTGTTTTAATAATATAAGATGCCATTTAGCAGACGCTTTTATCCAAAGCAACTTACAGTCATGCGTGCATACATATTTACGTATGGGTAGTCCTGGGGATCGAACCCACTACCCTGGCGTTACAAGCGCCATGCTCTACCAATTGAGCTACAGAGGGTTATGGGGCAGATGGGATTCACCCTGTCTGTGCTTAAAGTTTCTGCTCAGCCAGATGTTTTAGAGAGAATGCGAGAGAGAGAGAGAGAGAGAGAGAGAGAGAGAGAGAGAGAGAGAGAGAGAGAGAGAGAGAGAGAGAGAGAGAGAGAGAGAGAGAGAGAGAGAGAGAGAGAGAGAGAGAGAGAGGCCTCCAAGAGGGTGGCTCTCCCAAGGATAAATATTTCAATTCACAGTACATTTATAGTCCACTAGGTGGCGCTACTCCACACGCTATTGTTTTTTATAATGAGTCAGTAAGTCACTTCTATTAAGACAATTACAATCTATTCCTCATAGATGTTTAATATTGCCTATTTGTGTATTATTATGAAATATGTTTTTAATGTAGATTGGTTAAAGCCTGCAGAGAATATATCAATGTATGATATTAATGTACAATAGCACTCATACAGTCTGTTGAGATGTTCTGATCAACTTTTACTAGAGCAGTGGCTCGCTCTAGTGGTTGTAGTAGATAATTTCACCGCAATAACTTCCAGGAATTACAAATCTTAGTTGGGTTTACTGTGTAGTCTCCCTAGGCAGACTGGTTGCCTCCCACACAGGTCTTGGATTTCCAAAACTTACTGTGTGATTTCAATCGGGCTGAGAAATTGTGTGATCATGTGATTTAAAAAAAAACTACAGCCATTCTGATCCATCAGTAGCTCTATGATCTCAGGTTTATGTTTTATAACTTACACTGCGTTTTAACCATTACACAGTGCATTCGGAAAGTATTCAGACCCCTTGACTTTTTCCACATTTTGTTATGATACAGCATTATTCTAAAATAGATTAAATTGTTTTTTTCCCCCTCATCAATCTACACATAATACCCCATAATGACAAAGCAAAAACACGTTTTTTGAAATTTTTGCAAATGTATTAAATTTTTTTTTTAATATATAAAACTGAAGTATTCAGACCCTTTAGTCAGTACTTTGTTGAAAGACCTTTGGCAGCGATTACAGCCTCGTGTCTTCTTGAGTATGACGTTATAAGCTTGGCACACCTGTATTTGGGGAGTTTCTCCCATTCTTCTCTGCAGATCCTCTCAAGCTCTGTCAGGTTGGAGGGGGAGCGTTGCTGCTCAGCTATTTTCAGGTCTCTCCAGAGATGTTCGATCGGGTTTAAGTCCGGGCTCTGGCTGGGCCACTCAAGGACATTCAGAGACTTGTCCAGGCTGTGTGCTTAGGGTCGTTGTCCTGTTGGAAGGTGAACCTTCGCCCCAGTCTGAGGTCCTCAGTGCTCTGGAGCAGGTTTTCATCAAGGATCTCTTTGTACTTTGCTCCGTTTATCTTTCCCTCGATCCTGACAATTCTCCCAGTCCCTGCCGCTGAAAAACATCCCCACAGCATGATGCTGCCACCACCATGCTTCACCGTAGGGCTGGTGCCAGGTTTCCTCCAGACGTGACGCTTGCTCAGTTTGGCAGGGCGGCCAGCTCAAGGAAGAGTCTTGGCAGTTCCAAACATCTTCCATTTAAGAATGATTGCGGCCACTGTGTTCTTGGGGACCTTTAATGCTGCAGAAATGTTTTGGTACCCTTCCCCAGATCTGTGCCTTGACACAATCCTGTCTCAGAGCGCTACGGACAATTCCTTTGACCGCTCTACGGACAATTCCTTCGACCTCATGGCTTGGTTTTTGGTCTGACATGTACTGTCAACTGTGGGACCTTATATAGACAGGTGTGTGCCTTTCCAAATCATGTCCAATCAATTGAATTTACCACAGGTGGACTCCAATCAAGTTGTAAATACATCTGAAGGATGATCAATGGAAACAGGATGCACCTGAGCTCAATTTCGAGTCTCATAGCAAATGGTCTGAATAGTTATGTAAATACGGTATTTCTGTTTTTTGTTTTTTATACATTTGCAAACATTTCTAAAAACCTGTTTTCGCTTTGTCATTATGGGATATTGTATGTAGATTGATGAGGAACATTTTTTATTTAATCAATTTTAGAGTAAGGCTGTAACGTATCAAAATGTGGAAAGATTGTAGGGGTCTGAATACTTTCAAAATGCACTGTATGATTTCCTATCATAACCCCCCATCACCCACACACCAATGTGGCCTTGAATTCCACCACAATGGCATTTTATGAATGCAGTTTAAGAATTGTCAAAAACGACAACCATTCCTCCATCATTCTTCCATCATTCCATTCTCATACGTCTTCATACATACATACCCAGCTCTAATATGTAAGCTACACTACTTCATTCTATGGGAAAACCAATCTCCTACAACATTATTACCATGCTACTGTGAATGTAAAGTTACCACGGGACTGTTGATGAATGCTTTACCATAATAATAACATCAATAAGGATGATAATGATGATAAACGTGGACATGGCAGCCAGCTGTTGTACTGTGCTGAAAGGCCTGTTTATGCGGTGGGCCCCTCATTAGCCATGTTTTCATAACCTCCTTATAACGCCGTTTTAATTGCCCCAGAGTTGAGCTGCTGAGAGATTGTGATAATGGTCCACGTTGATATAATTCCATGATGTGTGGGAATGTAGAGAAGGTAGCCTACATAAAGCACAGCAGGCATGGGAGGGGAGAGGAGGGGGTCATTGAAGGGGCTTTTCTCCTATCCTGATAGAGCTCATGCAAATATTTTGTATTTCTCTTTAGCTCAGGCCCTATTTACACTAAACATCTAACATTGATTCTGCACTGACTGTCGCTGGATCTGGTTTTGACACTATATTGTATTTCTAGCACTGATATGTATTGTTCATTTGTTACTGAGTGAATGATTTAAGTAGATGACAGTTGCCGCTGATTCTAGGTATGTGGACTTTCTCTGGTGTTTCAGTTATTGACTACTGTGTCTATTGTATGGTAACTTACCGGTAAACACTCTTTTAGGTTTGAGTGTTGGTACAGTGCCCACTGGGAAAAAACTGGTTGAATCATTTCAACCCAAAAAATCAATGTGATGACATTGAATCACCCAACTTTTAACCTAAATCCAATGTCACAGTGAAATGTTTTGTTGATTTCAATTAGAATTCACGTTAGTTGACAACTCAACCAAATCAAAACTAGACGTTGAACTGGCGTCTGTGCCCAGTGGGTGAGCTCAGTTTTGGAGTTAGAGTTGAGGCTAGCATTGTGTGCACCTGTGTCACAAAGAGAGCCCAGGCCCCTGTTAGTCACGCTGGGAAACCCCTGGCCAGGTTTCCTGCTCTCATCACTCTCTCCCCCCACTTTCCACCTCTTCAACTTTAATTAAGGCTGCACAGTCCCATACTCCATGTAACCCCCCCACATCCCATGGTCTCCCTGTGCGACAGCAGCCCAAGTGACCCCCACTCTCCACCAGTACCCCACACTATTCTCCCCTCTGTCAGAGAGTGCAGCGAAGGGAAATGCCGGCGTCAATTCCGAAAGAGAAAGCAAAGCACAACCACTCTCCCAAGTCTCTGTTATTCCACGTTCCCCACATCCCCTCCTCCTCTCCTCCCCTTCTCCCTCGCTCAGCGGGCCTGTTGAGAGAGTTACATTAGCGAGACGAGAGATGGAGCGCAGATAAACTCACACGGGCAGAATGGAGTCATTAAGGAAGTGTTGATGGAGAGGGGACTGAATTACAGTGAGGAGGGCTGGAAGAGGGGAGGAGAAGAGGGGGAGAGGGAAGAGCCAGGAGCCTCATTCACAGCTTTTTACACTTCGGTTTATGTACATTATGTACATTTCACAGGGCTTTTACCACTGAGGGCTCATGATGTGAATGAACAGAGCCTGTATCTGTGTTCCCCGCAATATTCAATTACTGGTCTTCACTCACTCTGAGTCCCAGAAAACAGCAGACTGTCTGAGGCCCTCTGGGCCTTTGGAGGGGCGACAGGAGACTACATACTCATTCACATACTCACTCAAGTCCCCTTTGACAATAAGATAATAAAAGGTCAGTGAGGGAGC